ATCCTCCTCTTTTTGCTGAGGAAGACTGGCTCTGAGCTAACATCTACTGCCAATCCTCCTCCTTTTTTTTCTTCCCCAAAGCCCCAGTAGATAGTTGTATGTCGTAGTTGCACATCCTTTTAATTGCTGTATGTGGGACGCGGCCTCAGCATGGCCGGAGAAGCGGTGCGTCGGTGCGCACCTGGGATCCGAACCCGGGCCGCCAGCAGCAGAGCGCGTGCACTTGACCGCTAAGCCACCGGGCCGGCCCGAGTTTATTTTCTTAAGTACGCTGTGTATTTATACGTCAGTTCTCTTTTGCCCTATTATCGCAGGGAGCACTTTTTTTCTAGATGATGCAAGGGTAAACATCAGTCTAATCTAGGGTGTATCTTCACAAACGCCCAATTAGTAGAGCCAAAACTTATGCAGCTTTTTTGGGACGTGTAGTTTTTCTCTAACGAAAAGTAATTAACGAAAATTAACGTTTTGACTGTGTGAATAACATTCCATGAGAATTTTTGACTTTAAAAAGTATGGAAGAACTATTTTTTAATATAAAGGTATTCTAGACCAGAGGTTGGCCAGCTATGCCTTGTGGGCCAAATCCAGCCTATCAGCCTGCTTTTGTAGGAGAACAGCCACACCCATCTGTTTGTATATTGTCTATGGCTGCTTTCACAGTAGAGTCCTGTGGCCTGCAAAGCCTAAAATATTTACTCTCTGGCCCTTTAAGAAAACATTTGCTGGCCCCAGCTTAGAATATTTAGATCCTCAACATCAAGAAACTTTCAACTGTGTTTTATATGGGTTTCTTCCAAAGTAACAAGACAGTCATATAGAAAGATTTCTGATAAACATTCAAGTCAAAGAGGGTCAATAGTTAACCCATCCATAAACAGAATTCCTGAAGTATTTTGGCAGCTGGGGTTCTACTATGCTTTTACTGAAGTACTGAGGTGTGGAACCAAATAAACTAGTAACTGATTGAAGATCTGTAGCATCGTTCATCGCAACAACCCCCACTCCAAAGTTTGACACTTTTTCATTATGTTTTTGACTATATTATGTGTCTTTTCTCCATTGCAACCCTTTGGGGTTTTCTTTTTAAGTATACTTATTTTGTTTTGTTATGAGAAGTGTATAATACCGCTAAAGATATTTGCGATCACCTGTGGTTGGCACAGAATTAACAGTTGAAAATCATCGATCTAGGGAATAAAGCTAGTAATCCAAGGACTTGGCCTCTGTTTCCCTCAGTCAGCCATCTAGTCATTCTTTCAGTTAGGGCAGGGTGATTGATATGCTCATGCTTTAGGTTTGCTTTTTATAAAGTGAACCCACTTGAGTAATGTTTACTACAAATGAGTAATGAATAGTACTTAAAATTCTTGAATTGTAGGTCCATAAAGGCACAAAAAGTGTGTATCATCATATCTTACATGCATAACTACTACTGTGTATTATATAATGATATTCACAGATATTAACAAAGTACTTTTATTCATGAGCACTCAACTTCTTAAAATAAAAAATTGCCTGCTATCCTTTTTCTGACTAAAAGAGTAGTTGCTTTATGAATAACTTGCACAAAACTGGACATGTACCTGAAAAACTTTTTCCTCTCGTATTGTTTCTCCAAACCTGAAATTCTTTAGCTGACTGTTCTTTTTACATATCTCTATATCTATAGGTACATAAATCCAGGGTTCTGTTTGCCACAAATGTGGCTATGGTATCACCTTTCTTTTGGAAATATGGATTTATATATTCTCTATTTAGGAAATAATGGCTGTGTTTATTGTCTAGAACTATTAAATTTCTGTGAGGAAAGTGTCATGTACAAAAAATTGTTTTGCTTTTGTTGCTAAGTTTCTTTGAAAAGCTGATCAGGTAATAAACTGTGATGATACAAAGCTATTAACTATGTAAGTTAAACTATGAAAAAATACTGAGATATTTTTTAATTACTTTAAAGTAGCTTGTGAATAAGGATATTAGAGTTTCTTTTCAAATATATTGTTTATCAGTAATAAAATCTACTCTTAAATTTAAGATTATTCTACAAACCAGAACATTAGAAGTAAGCCTATTAGTAAAGCTA